TCTTTAATAACAAAATACGCAACGTTTCACCACAATTTACAAGTGTCGTCTTCAGAATATGGGAATATATAGCAATACGATTGTTCCGGCATCGCAAAAGAAAAATTAAATTATATATCCCCATGTTTACTCCCTACTTCTTCATTTCATCTGAAGATGACACCTACGTGTAAATTGTGGTGCAGCGTTACGTATTTTGTTAATAAAAAAATGTTATACTATTATATATTCCCTTGTGTTTTCTGTTATATGTGCTCTTAGCTTGTAAATGTCGTTCAAATCTTCTCTCAGCAATTCAATGAAATTGTTAATATTAAAATGAATATAAATGTAATTTCTTAGCCTCAACCATTCAGTCCAACTTTGACTACAAACAGCTTCGACGAAAGATGGCCTTTGAAACCTTTGTAATTGTCCGAGTCTATTGTCAGTTGCTATTGAATCTGATTGGTTGACGTTTGGTGCGGGACAACATTAATTAACTTTAGAGCTTCAATATGTATTAAAAAAATCAGGGGATAAAAGTATCTAAAATAAACTGAAAGAATTTATGGGGGTTGTCTTTTTGTTTCGGCTGTAAACAAGTCGTTTGAGATTTATAGATCGAATATGCTTAATTGTAGTTTTCTCCCTTGGTGGAAGTTGAAAGTTTCTTAACAGAAAAATCAATGGAATGTCCCGTACTATATCCTCGTATCCGGGTGCCCGAGGCTAGTAATTTCTTTTAAATAAAGATTCCATCAGATCGCTTAAACTACAACTATTCATATGATCAATAATAGATTTTCTTCTCTTCGCTTTAATAAACCGAAAAGGTGCTAATGGGTTCAGTGTCGAGGTCGTAAGAAATATCCAAACAAGTTCAGCTTTTAGTCACCATTATTTTAAAACATAATATAATCAAAGATATGTTCGTTCGAGAAGTTTACATAAATGTTATAAAGTCTATAAATGTGACTATAGTTCCTGTTTTATAATTATTTTAATAAAAGAAAATGCAGAGATCACATTGGAAAAAATATTCACTTTAAGAATAAAGAGCAAACGGATTCGTGATATGTTTGACCAATCGTAGTTTAGTCTCAGAAACGGGAAATAGAAAGAGAAATTCCTAGTTTGGGGTATTTTTGAAGGAATAATACGACTTTTTGTACATTTCTAGTACTTCAGAAGACTATTTAAATATTTTCTAGACCCCAACCACTCCCGTAATTGACGAATGTGCCCCTTATGTTGATATGAAATATTAATTTTTTATTCCAGAGAAAATGTCGACCAATAAAATGTCATGGAGATAAAATTTTGGAAGACGGGTTATGTGTATCTAATAACAAAACAGCTCTTGGTACCAAATATCACTTAGTTCTACAACTTAAATTATATACCACTCATCTCGTTTCTAATATTAACCAAATTATTGGTCACATGATGTTTCAATTCCAAGCCAAATTAAGTTCAATATCTTTTCAAATTGAAGCATCATATCAAATAAAATTTTTGGATTATTCTCTTGTCTTGCTACATGTTTGGTTTGAAGTAACTGAAGATATCAGGCTTACGTATGTTGAACATAAGTTAATGTTTATTGGGAGAGCAGTGGAAAACTTTGGTTTTAACGTTATTTTAACGGTCAATACGTATGAATTAAACCAAACCGATCATCACGTTTTTAGATATTTTAAATCAGAAAGAAAAACTAGATTATGTTGCTCTGTGGAAAAGACTCGGCATATTTCCTCTGAATTAGATTTTGAGCTGGTTACCAATGAACTGACATGTTCCTATATAGAATTTGAACAATCAGAATACAAATTTGTTAAAGGCTCAGCCTTCATCAAACACTTTAATCTGACACTTGTTCAAGGTTACTTTTCAATCACCAAGAACAAGCTCTCAGTTTGTTTTGATATAATCTTATCCATGACTAACTCTGTTCGCACTAATGAAACGCTTTACATTTCTGATAATTCCAATAGCTTTGATGTATCATTATGGTATGTTACTATTACATGTGTTTCATTTTCGATGATATCGTTAGTCATTATTATTATGACTTATACCGTATTTAATGAACTGAGAACACAACCAGGAATCAATAATTTGATTCTTTGCTGGAATTTATTCATGGCGCAATTGATGTTAATGGTTGGCTTTGATAGAATGAAACAAGTAACATTATGTAAAATTATCGGAATTTTCACTCATTTCTTTTCCTTAAATACATTATTTTGGATGAACATTTGTTCATATCACATGTTCAAAGTATTTGTTGTGGGAAAATTTGTGATCAGTGCCTCTCGTGCAACTGTAAAGCAAAGTATGATCTATTGTATTTATGGTTATGGCTGTCCAGTTCTTATAGTATCCGTTACCATTATTACTAACATTATACTATCGGATGGTAAAGAACTTGGATTTGGGGGTGATATTTGTTATTTGTCAAGCACATTATTAGTTCTCTATTCGTTTGTTATTCCATTATGTCTTGTTATTATAAGTAATGTTATTTTCTTTATTTTGACTGTTATAACTATTCATCGTGTTAAACCAGAAGGCAAACAAACCGGGGAAAGAAATAATGTTTACATCTATTTGAAATTATCGGTTGTTACTGGCGTATTTTGGACAGTTTCATTGATGACTAATTTCTTTGATTTTTTTATTTTGGAGTATATGGCAGTCTTTTTGAATGGATCTCAAGGCGTTTTTCTTCTCTGGTCCTTAATTATAAATAAAAAGGTCTTGAAGAAATACAGAGCTGTGTTTTGTCAGTGCATAACAGACGTACAAAGTGAGACTAGCAATATGAAGAAATGAACCTTTGACGTATTCTTGTCACAAAAAGGCAGGACACGCTCGCCATCAAATATGAGCGAACATTAAGAATTTGATTTAAAAGGAAGTAGTGAGTCAAAATGGTCTCCTTGATTTAACAATGATTTAATACTAAGGTAACTCAGTTGGGGAAACTAGTCATTGATGTCGAATTTGTCCAGTCTGATTAAAATTAAATTAAAACTTTCGTTACCTTTTTTTTAGCTTATATTTTTGATATGGCCACTTCAGTTAAAGTCTAACGACAGCCCTCTTGAACGGTCGTAAAATTAAACTTGTGTCCTAAACTGATAAACGCCGCATCACAAAATGCCACCGCATGAGAGGGTGGAAATATAAATGGTTAACGCAGACGTCATTGAGTTAGGTCAAAAGGTTAATTTGACGAAAGTTCAAGAGGGCTGCCGTTAGACCCTAACTGAAGTAATCGGAACGAAAGTTTGGTCTAATTTTAATAAGATTGGAATTGTCAGTCTGTTGAATGTGTCGTTTGACTGTCAACCTCTTTGTGGTGTAAGATGTAAGAGAGAAGAAGAGTTGTGTTGTACAATGGTAACAATAGTTAAGCTGGTAATTGTCAATTACTTTTTCATTTTGAATATCGTAATTTGTTTTAAATATATTTGTAATTTGTTTGGTTTGTTCCAAAACACCCCTGTTCATTCGACTATTTGCAACCTTTCAAGCAAAACCAGGGATTGAAAAACCTGAATAACTTTGCCAAAAATAAAACCATATAAGTATAAGTTTTAAATGCATTACTATTTACTATTGCTTTCATCGATTCCAGATTGTAGAAATCAGATTAAATCATCTTTGTTTTAAGAAAATTTCCTTTGATGTCGATGTATTTACCTAATGTTTTATGTCGAAATTTCTAGACTGTTGTACTTTAAATATGAATACGATTGTAAAGATGTTTTGACTTTTTATGTGTTACAGGGACACTGAAAGGATCAATTTGCACCATGCAAATTTCATTCAGAAGTCTGTGGGTCTTGCAATGCCACAAGAACAAGGGCAATAACTCATACTAAATATTTTTCGATTTTTCTGATTTTCATTAGAGTTTATCCCTGGGTGATTACGAACACTCACACCAATCAAAATCCGTCAAGAATTGTCCGATCTAGAGTGTTAACGAGATGAAAAATTGAACGCGTTTTCAAGAACAAGGGCAATAACTCATGCTAAATATTTTTCAGTTTTTCTGATTTTCAATAGGGTTTATCCTTGGGTGATAACAAACACTCATGTCAAGTTTCGTCAAAATCTGTCAAGAATTGTGTCTTCTAGAGTGTTTACGGGCTAAAAATTGGACGCGTTTTCAAGAACAAGGACAATAACTCATACTAAATATTTTTCGATTCTTCTTATTTTCAATAGGGTTCATATTGTCAAAATCCGTCAAGAATTGTGTCTTGTAGAGTGTTTACGAGCAATTGTGGACGGACGGACATGGGTGGGCGGCTCCCAACACCCAACACTGAAGGTAGGTATACATACCCATCTCCACCATCTCAAGTTGCCTTCTTCCTAATTTCATGTTCCTACCCAGTGAATTTTTCTTACTACAGCGCAATGAATTTGCTTTAGAAAATTGTGATGCATCTATTTCAGTGGAAGCTAAGGCCTATTTTACATTCATTCTGTTCATAGGCCTACTGTATTCTGTCTTTGGTAAGCGTTAACTGCTTTTGTTGTCAAAGTTGTCGTTGATCATATTTCACGTTAAAATAATTGGTGACGACAATAAAATCATCGGTAAATAAATCATCGAGAAAATTTCAGTTCGTTTAAATTTCAATTTCTCAACGTGGCAAATAGAAGCCATAAATCTGGTCAAACGTGGAAAATAACTCGAGCCGATTTGTTTATGTCGTATCGCCTTAAAAGCGTTCAAGGAATTAAGCTTTGGTTCTAGATAATATACTATTGTAATTTTTTTTCTCTACAATATTATTTTCCAAACCAAGTCAAGAACTAGTTGTAATTGGTGACGTTTCAAATTCAACCATCTCTTATAAATGCTCCTGGCTGGAAGCGAACGTTAACTTGTCATCTACCTACATTACAAACCTAAGAGGCAAATTTCCTAAATCCGTATCTTGTTTTACAACACTACCTGATCTTTGACAATGTCAGTTGACTTCCGGGATTTTGACTAAAAACATTTTTATATTCATCTGAGAAGAAACTAAAGCGAGGTAATGTTAATATAATAATAGTACATGTATATAATGAAACAATTAACTTCGTTTTTTCTACTCGAAGTAGAGGATTGGAATTGTCTAAAATATAGTAGGTTTACCCTACATCAAATAAACTGTTGACCTGAATGTAAACAAAATGAAAGTAGATTTATGTCTTCATTCATTTGGTTTCAGAGCAATAGTTCCACGAGAAAAACACGTTGTATGGATATCTAGTGGTGTAATTATCAATTCTTAGATTTTATCTTAAATATCAAGTCATTATAACTAAAGACAATTTCTTCAAAGAACAATGATTTTTTAAAAAAGAAATAGTGACTGACAAATAAGATCAGTAAAATGTAAGAGTAATTTATTGCTTAATTAAATATAAACAAAATAAGAATATGACCTACATTGTGTTCCAATATAGAATTTTTCTGCTAACATGAAATCCACTAGTTTGTCACTTGACTTTGTTCACTGGAATATATTCTAGCAGACGACACTGCAGGATGACGTTATAGAGATAACGTATGTTTATCAAAACATGCAAATGCAGAGGTCACGCAAGGTCCTACATATAAATTATATATCATTTCCAGACATACGAAATTAGGTTACTTGACTGTATTACAAAATTAAAATATTTTGTCTAATATTCAGCCCATAACAATATGTAATGTAAGCTTATTTAGGAATATCTTTCCTTATAGATTGAAAATGACCAAAGAGGAACCAACAGTTAAAACTATTCGAACTAATTTTGAGACCAAATATGCAGGTAGGATAATGATATTTACAGAATTTTGATTTAAGAAGTTATCAAGCTGGAATCTATAACTATTTCTATTGTAGATAATATAAAGAAATATGTTTGTGATAGTCGTGATCTGGAATCTATATAACTTTTTTCTATTGTTGTTAATATAAAGAAAGATGTTTGTGATAGTCGTGATCTGGAATCTATATAACTTATTACGATTGTAGATAATATAAAAAAAGATGTTTGCCATAGTCGTGATCTGGAATCTATATAACTTATTTCTATTGTACTTAATATAAAAAAAAGATGTTTGTGATAGTTGTGATCTGGAATCTATAACTTATTGTAGTTAATATAAAGAAAGATGTTTGTGATAGTCGTGATCTGGAATCTATGTAACTTATTTCTATTGTAGATAATATAAAGAAAGAAGTTTATGACCTGATCTGGAATCTATATAACTTATTTCTATTGTAGATAATATAAAGAAAGATGCTTGTCATAGTCGTGATCTGGAAACTATATAACTTATTTCTATTGTAGATAATATAAAGAAAGAAGTTTATGATAGTCGTGATTTAGAAGCTATAAAATCTGATGATGATCTTGTAACTACATATATACGTAATGATATTCCACCAGAAGATTTGATTCATGAATCTTTAAAATGGAGAAATGACATCAAATTGAATGGTATGTATAAGAGATTTAAACATCAAAATTTTGATTGAAATATCAGCCTATTAGAATCGTATGAAGACAGTCCTATGGTATATCATTGTTGAATTATAGGAGAATGATCAAGGGACACATTCGCAAACCGTTAATTGACCAATCATACTTCAGTCTCAGAAACGGGAATGTTTTAGCTAAGCTAATCATTAATAGTTTTCACAGCTCATCGTCGAAGTTTGAACTTTCAAATCCATATGTTTACAGAATTATACAAGTTTTAAAGTAGAAATGACAACTTATCTTTTCTTGGTATTCTACCAGAAAAAGAAACTGAAATTTCTAGTTTGAGGTGTATTTGAAGGTATCCAAAAATGGCAAACTATGACCTTTAAGCATGTGACAGAATAACAGGTTGGAACTATCTATGGTTGAACATATGTCATACCAGGAGCAAGATTCCACCAGAATTTATTGTATATCTTTGGGGATCCATAACATCTGTGCCAAGACATCTGTGGACATGATTCATGAGGATAAACATATCATATGGAAGCTGCTACTTTTCTTTTGAAGCAGGAGAATTTAATCTATCTTACAGACATAAATGAAGATACCTTTGACAAATGGATGTGGGAAAAGGGAGCTGTGTATTTTCATAACAAAGATAAAGATGGTCATAGAATATGTAAGTCTTGTATGATTTTGGAATAAAGCAATGGTGTTGAATTGAATTCTACCATCTGTTACAGCAGTCATCACTTTATTTCTGTTCAGTCTGAAAATCTAGCTTCAGGTTCACATGCGATTAGATCAAAACATAATTATATTAATTCTGCCCTCCATTGAACAGTTTGAAATGCCTCGATGAAAATTTTCCCATCTATTTTCTTATCGGCCATTTTGAATTCTTCCTGCACCTACTATTTTTTCAGCACATGTGGAATGCGAAATCTCTTGTATTATTGAACTTCTGGTTGATTCCATGAATCCGTAACAGGCAGAACTCACCAATCGAGCAACCCCATATTTTGATCAGATGAATTCGCAATATGGTCAATTTGTCTAATAAAGTACTTTACATATTATTTCAATTTCAGTAAATGTTGTGTGCAGACATCATAAAAAAGATGCAGCTCTACTTCCTTTTGTGAAGAAGTTTCTAGGTTATGCAATTGACAATGCATTTAAAGAAGACAGACATTCTAGAATAGTGGTGTTGTTTGATATGTCTGATGCTGGTCTGTCCAATCTAGTGAGTTTGATCTATTATTTCAATATACCAAGTGTAGCACTTAATAAAATTGGATTTGAAATATAGGTTAAATTTTATTATACATGTACTACGGATTAAATTAGAAGGTCACATTTTATGTATAATTCAAGTTGTATGCAAAGTGTATTAGAAGTTATATAAAAAATTGTATAGAAAGTTATACTATATATTGTATTAAAAGTTATTTTACAAAATGGTATTAGAAATTATATTACAAATTCTAAAGAAGTTCTATTATATTATAAATTACATTGTAAATTGTATAATAAATTTTATTATTTTGTATAATAGATAGATTTGTAAATTGTATTTGGAATGGTATTTTTTCAGGATATGGATTTAATAAAGTATATTATAACATGTTTTAAATATTACTTTCCTACATTCCTATGTAAGTATGTGACTTATTGTACAAACTATAATCATTAACCCTTTTAACCCTAGTGGCTGGTTTACAGGCCACACACTAACGCAATATATACCTGAGCAGCATGTATCAACTAAAAAATTCAGTCTTTCTGAGGTATTTCTAGTATGTGTATTTGAGTAACTTATAGCTTCCATTGGCATTCCTCTGATAGGCATACAAAGACTAATAAGACTGTTAATATCTTTAACAATAATGGTATTTTTTTTTTAGCTTACATGTTGATTTATGAAATGCCGTGGATATTCAATGGTAAGTAAACAAATTCTATTTATGAACACTAGATCCTTATTCAATAAATGAAGTGTACAAAAATATTACTGCTCGAGCAAAGGATTTGATTCAAATACTCAACCCACCTTTAAGAATAAAAAGAAAGCCTTTGGCAGTTATTGAAATCGATTTTTTTTTCTGCTGAGGGCCACTCAAAATATGCTGTTTATAAATAGAGACAATTTTCACAGACCTACCTGAATTATAAAGTTGTCAAATATTGTTTGAAAATTTAAATCAGACTTTCAGTTTGTCTACAAATCAAACAAGATGAAATGAATAATGCCCTAAAATGAATATTTTCAAACAGATTCAAACTATGGAATGCATAAATAGTTGTGATGAATTCTTGACTGGATCATTAGACCTTAATTCGAGCTGTCTGTATCACTTCTCAACCTTCAATTCAGACACTAAGTTTGTCTACAATTGAAACAGGATTACATGCTTATTCCATTAATGAATATTTTAGCTGCATGGAAGGTTATTAAAGCATGGTTAAGTCAAGAAGCAGTGAAAGTCATTAAATTTGTTACCAAGAGTGATATACAGGAGTATATAAATAGAGACCAGATATTAACTCATATGGGAGGCACTGTAAGTATATATATAGCAAGGATTATAATTCATCTATTTACCTATCAAATGAATTAAAAGCTTGTTTTCTGAATAAAATTTGGTTCATCTAAAATCAAATGAGAAAGAAATGTTCAGAAATGACAAATTTGAAGGCCATCATTACAGAATAAACAATAAAATATCACAATTTGTCAGAAATTCCAGATGTAAGGATCCCAAGGTGCCTTATCAAAATTTAAATTTGCACATTTTCTAGGATAATTGAATAAATAAAATTGAATAATTGAATAAATAAAATTGAATAATTGAATAAATAAAATTGAATTAATAAAATTGAATAAATAAAATTGAATAATTGAATAAATAAAATTGATTGAATAAATAAAATTGAATAAATAAAATTGAATAATTAAATAAATAAAATTGAATAATTAAAATTGAATAATTGAATAAATATATTGAATAATTGAATAAATAAAATTGAATAAGTAAAATTGAATAATTGAATAAATATATTGAATAATTGAATAAATAAAATTGAATAGTTGAATAAGTAAAATTGAATAATTGAATAAATATAATTGAATATATAAAATTGAATAAATGTGCATTAGACTTCAATATGAATTTAAGTAGGGGCTATTTCTTTACATTTCAACGTTTGGGACTACTGACAAGATTGTTTACATTGGAGACCATCTATTTGATACAATGACGTCAATGAAAAACAATGTCATTGGTTAAAATTACTACGCCTGATGTTTTGGTGATGAAGCAACGGCGTTTATGGTGATATAAACTCCACACAAATTTGTATTCAACCAATGGAAGAAATAATAGCTAATGTAAATATATGCAAATATTGGAAATTTTTAAACATTTGTTTTTTTTTTTTTTAACTAGGATAAGTTTGTATATAAATACCCACCAGAGCCAGTAACAGAGGCAGGAGATGCTGATTCCATGTTGTTGAATTCGACACGAAAAAAGGTAATTTTAACATTTTATATTTTATATAAATACTTTAATTCCATACTGTGTGCACCCTCCCCTCAGTTTTAGGTTTGTTACAATCTTGATGGAATTAGCTTAAAATATATAAAAAAAATTGCTGTGTTATTTATTTAAATATTAATAAAGGTATCCATAGCAAATCAATTTTTCTAAATTCTTCAAAATTTTTGAAATAAAATTCCTGACAATTTTTTACAAAGAAGGTGAAAAAGAATTTATTTTGTATCCTTGGCACAGTAAATTTAAAAACATTTTTGAGTAGGCCTACATTTAGCAAAAAATATTTCTTAATAATTGAGAAAAATGTATATTCTACAATTTGGTTAAAAACTGTTGGTAACCATGGCAACATTTTTTAAATACTTTTATTACAAAAATTTTATTCTTAGTTATTAATAGACTCTAAACAGGTGCTTTATTTCAAAGAGAATGAAAATAATATCAGCTGTCAATCACATCCTTAGTTACATAAAGAACCTATGACATCATCAAATTGTGATGTCATAGTCCAACATAGCAACCGCTAAATTGAAGCATGATTGTGGAGTTTTCAAAACATTGATTTTGTTTGGAACATGATTTCTGAGGAAAATGTAAGTATTTTGGGATTAAAAATGGTGCTATCCTTGAATCTTTGCAATCCTGCCTTGATTGTGATCATCATTTCTCAATTTTGATTTGATATTTCAGGTGACATTTGCCGACCAAGACTCCCAACTTTATAAAAGTTTGAGCAATGACAGCATTTCACAACAGGACACAAACAGCAATGCCATTTTTAGAAAGGTCAGTTTTTATAATGGTTATATTTTTTTTAACTTTACTCCAGAATGCAAGTAAAGTAGATTATATCTGTAGGCAAAGATTAGCCAAGGTTCCAAGGCCAATTTCATATGTTATATATATGTTAAAATTGATGTGGTTAGATAAGCAAATCTACTCCTAGTCCTGGACTAATAAGTCCACAAAGTGTGTCTAACCTTCCTTAGCCTGGCTTAGACTTATCAACAGAATGTCAAAAGGCACTGACACAGGGCTGGCCAGCAGGGTACAAGTGCCTGTGACATACAAATTAATGCATCTTGCAACATTTGACTTGAGCAACTTTCAGTAGCCAAACCTACTAGTACTGTACTATAGATCAAAGTGTGACTTCAGTTTCTTGGACCAGTAAGACAACAATATTTTATTTAGGAATTTTATGTTATAACTGATCTATTTAGATAACATGCCAGTTGTGAAATTATGTCCAAAAAAAAGATGATCTATGACAATGGTTACCATGTATTTTAAATTGCGTGGTAGATCTACCATATTTAAAAATAATTAAAATGTTTTTCATTTATTTCTTTTATTTCAGACAACTATCAGTAGAACATACAGTTCTAGTTTTAAAAAACAGAATAGAGATGAGAATTCTTTCATTGGTAGACTCTTGACTATCAGGTAAGCTTGTCAGCTGATTTGTTTTGCTTAACTTTGCCACAGAAATGTGATTAATTTTTTTTTTTTCCTTTTGTGACCTTTGGCGTTTCAAACTCACTCTTACTGTAAGCTTATGTTTTCCCCTTAACCTGTCATTAAAACAGCCCTCAGAAGTTCTCAGAAATGTGTGAATGTAAACTTTATCTGAAGATATCATTAAATGGCTTAATCAATTCTAATTCTATAATACAATATTATTAGATTTGATTTAAATAATGAGATTTGAGGCACTGCAGTGACTTTGTAACTTGTGTTATGACTATGAGCCTCATTCTCAATTCAAAATGGCTGATGCCCGAAAGGGTTTATAAGCTTAATGAAGAAGACTTTATCAAGATTTTATTGATCAGTCAATCATTGTTTATTTCAGCCCAGCAGAAGAGTTAGAGTTTGTTGTAGATGAGAATGGTAAAGAAAGCTATGATGTGATATCACTAACTAATACATTACCCTATTCTATAGCTTATAAAGTTAAAACTACCTCTCCTGAAAAATATCGTGTTCGACCCAGTTCTGGTCTGGTAAGATCTGGTTCTTGTACAGAGGTTCATGTCTATTTACAACCAGGTAGGCATCAACAAGTTCTTCAATACAATCAGAATCATTACAGGATTATTGGAATTTTCCTAGAATTTTTTAGAATCAATTCAGGATTATTGGAATTTTTCATTAGCCCAGAAAGTAGAATTTGAAACTCTATTTTTATTTGAACAACATGCCCTGTGTCAGAGGGGCAAAAATGGCAAAAGTGTCAATCCTTTGTAGGACCCATGTGCTACAGGCTGTGCATGTTAAAGATCCCTCGACAATTGAAATAGAAAAAGAGCAATCTTATTCTGCTGTCCTTGCAAAATTTCCCTCATTTTACACTGCAAAGCATTGTCCATCTTCAATAGTCCAATTAGGTTTAGAAAAGAATAAAGTATGAACATATCTCGTATCTAATCTCTATCAGTAGAATTGCTTGGCACGTACTCTGATTCTTTCTTCATACTGATAACTTAATGTTCTGTGGTTTGCTTTGCTTATCTACACCTCCTTTGTTTCCTTGCATAAATGTGTTATGTTATTTGAAGGTTTCAGTAGTACAATAGCTAAAGATAAATTTTTGATCATGGCCATGGAAGTTACTAATGAAACAGCAGACTCTATAAATGATTTATGGAAAAAGGTTGGAAAAGAAAATATTATGGAACACAGGTAGGTAAAGATGGCCCCAAAAGTAATTCTGAATTCTTAATAGTATTTTTTTGGTGCTTTATTCTGGACCCAATCAAAAAGTATGGAAGCAGACGTCACTTAAAAATCTTCCATCTTCCTATGCCATTCTGAATTTTGGTGCACCAACTATTTTTTCTGCACACAAGCGTTCTGAACCCTGACATTCCAACTTTCCTTGAATTCCAATCGTGAAGAAATCAACAGTCCACCAACCCCTTAGCTATTTCAGAATATCCAGAATATCATTTTGCTACTGTAAGCTAATATTATAAACTTACCTGTCTATCCTGTTCAATAAGCTTATCTGTCAAATTAATAAGATAGCAAGCCTCATTAACATAATGATTAGGAAAGGGAGGGTATTTTTGATATTTATAACTAAGAATATGGTATATGATTGTGTTTAAGGTTACGGTGTACCCAGACAACTAGTGATACTGGTGATATAGGAGATCTTAAATCAGAAATAGATAATATCAACATGACATCAGATCAACGATTACTTAAAATCAGTAGACAAGTAAGTAAATCTAAAACCAGTTTTTATTTAAACTTTCAAAATAAATTAGCGTACCCTAAGCTGGTCCCCCATTCTATCTAAAGCTTGGCACCGAGGAATGGGTTTGGGCTATTGTCATCTTGGCATTGATTGGTCAAAATTCATAACCTACAGTAATGTCATTGGGGTTCCCAGATGTCACCGCTGAAAAGATGTCTTGCTAAATCCCGCTAAATCCTGCAGTCTATAAGCGAACACAACAGGTACCAGTTTAAGTGTATTTATCACCTTCATGTAATAGGACATACCTTTGACGTTTTTAATGAGGATTCTTCTATCAGTAAATTTCGTTGGAAGGACTGAAAAAAACACATCAAGTGCTATAGACAGTAAGCCTGAAATCATTAAGCCTGAAATCATTTCAAATAGAATAGAAATGTCCAAGATATACCATCTTCACAATGTCAAGATTTACAAACTGCCTCCAATGCCTTGACATCAAAAACCACTTGTATCATGGAAAGTGTGTTATTGCAGTGATTGATTGGATTGTATGCTAGCAAATACAGCCAATCAGAGCTCTTAACAGTATGTCTGTAAACAATTAACCGTAGTATTTACAATGTTTCTGTCGAGGACTCTGATAGGCTGTATTTGCAGGTGTAAAATCCAATCAAATCATTGTGAAGAAGTTTATGCACATGAAAATCCATTTAGATTCTGAAATATCATTTACCAGTTTTAGCCTACCTTTTAAATCTTATAATTTTTTTTTTTTTACAGTTAGATACAATACAAAGAGATAATGTAATATTACAAAATCATGTTCAATTGTTATTGAGAACACAGTTATTTATGTTCTTTTTGTTTATTGCCTTTATCTCTATGTTATGTTATTTATTTCATGAAGAGGTATTATCTATACGACACAGTGGATGTTCATCATCTTTATTTTAATACAAGTGCTAAAATTTCATGACAAAATTGTTTCTGGATATTCAAATAAAAACATCAGTTTCTATTAGGCAGTAAGAATATGTTTTATAAAATTATAGTTAAGATCTTTTAAGGGATTTTAAAGAGGTTTTTTAACAATTCTATAAGTAAAGTGGACACTGATAGTACTGATTTACACCATTCCAATTTTCAATCAGATGTCTGTGGTTTTTGCAATTCCACTTAAACTGAGCGTTTTAGGACATCACTATCGCTAAAATACTTATAGCCGCTTTTGCAATCAAACACTTACTTTTTGTGGAAATGCAAGAGTCCCAGACGTTTAATTGATAATTGGAATGGTGCAAAAAAGTTTAGAAAACCTCTTAACAATCCCTTTAATTATTGGGGAAATGATTAGCGCTTGAAAAATTTTAGCAGCTGCAACACTAAAATCAAGTTAATTTTATTGTCCAGTAAATGTCCACTCAAACAACTTGGTTTATATTCAATATGTTTAATAACATTTTTATTTGAGAGTGGTTTTTCAATGAGTGTAAGAAAGATTTTACAAATGTGTAAAATGTGTAAAATGTTTAGCAAAAATACATGATGCTTTTCACATGATATGTAACTTCCTTCCTTAACCTGTATTTCTTCTCCGATATCAATATTAATTGTAAACATCTAGAGTAAAGGATGGTAAATTTGCTACTGAAAATCTTCTCCCAGTAATTTGGTATAAAAGTCAATGTTCAGATTTGAGAATATCATGATGTGGAAGCTATATTTTTATCAAATTAGGTTTTAAACTAAATGAATAAGTTTTACTCGCAGGCTGAAAATAGGATCAATTGTCTGAAGATTGCATAGCGTGAAACTCTGAGTAACAGTATGATTCAAGTTCTATTATAATATTTCAAAGTTTTGACTATAATGGAAAATAACTATGCTCCATAAATATTTTTAAAATTTATTGAATGGTTTAGTAGCCCTGTGCCTGTTAAATATTCGAAGAGATGGTGATTTGAGAAAGCATGCCTTGTAAGTGGTGTGCTGGTATATAACTGAATTTTAATTCAAATTAAAAAATTGATAAAGGCAGCTAATATTTCAGTTCTATCTTGATGACTTTACATATTTCAATCGTCAAGATAAAACTAAATTTCAGAGACAGTTAGTTATAGTTGAGTTTACAAGTGACGTGGGTTGATCTCAATTTTCCAAACCTTGTAGATGCTACCTTCAACTTCACTTAACTATTTTTTTCTGTTTTAGGCTACCTCGAATTTAAGGTCAATGTTTATTATTTTTGTATGATTTCAATGGTTATTTATTTATGCATAATTTTCACTGATTAAAGTTGATTTTGTATGAAATTATTGTTTTGCATCAAAGATAGAAAACCTGTGAAGGGCATCCAAAAGAACTTTTTCTTGCAAACTGCCCTATCAATACATAGTTGACATACACATATCACAGGTGTCTGTAAGAAAATTAAGCCCATTCTGTCAAGGACATGGAACTTGTCAAGGTCTTGGGACGCCAGCAAACAATCACAGTTCAAAGGCTAATGATTTGGCTTTATTTTCCATACATGACCGGTAGGCCAGGTCAAATGTCAGAGAGTCAATATCCTTTACCAGACATCTACCTTGAGTTAAGATTCATTGAAGAGGACATTAAAGACAAAACAGAATTTTCTGGAATTTAAACAAAAATATCAACGTCATATATAATCTTTTAATCTTAATACCACAATCTTTTGATTAATTTCTCATTAAGATTTCAATCATTGCACATTATTCCATCCATTCCAGAAGACAAAATCTATTTTAACTATGACAGTGTAAATTTCTGCAATAATAGATATCATTTAACATTTTTTCTTTGTTCACAATCTTTTTTAGTGTATAGAGGATAATATTAGCATTGATTTGCACCATTCACATCTGGTCTTTGCAAGTCAAATAAAATGAAGCGTTTCTATACTCAGCTGTCGTCAATAGACAGAAAATAGGAAGAATGCAATGACGACAATTTAACATAGAAGTTCTGAAAAAAAAATTCTGTTTCAGATTGATTACTAAAACAGATCTAATGAAATGAGTAAAGCATGATGCAAAATATTGTTTCATGAGAATATCTTTTGTGTGCACAACAAACATTGTTTTCTGTTTCAAGGAACATTTGTTTGAAAATCAAACTTGTTTAGATTCTTAACAAATGTTTCGTCTGCCATATGAGTTGAATAAGGATGTTTTTACAAATCATTTTCCATCCTCACCATATCAATACACAATATCTCTCACATGGAGTAAAACTATACTTGGATCTTGAGGTCATGTGACAAAGCAGCATACGCACTCTTTCTTTTGAACAATGTCCATCGTGCTAATGAATAATTGAACACAAGCCTTTTAGTTTCAACAGAAAAAAAATCTGTTGTCTGCACTTGGCTTAAAGAACCACAATTTTCTAGTTTAAATTGCAAATATTAAAATTGTAGAAATGAAATGGTTGTAATTTAACAATCAAAAAGAAAATTAAACTTAAATCAGTTAACAAATCAATGGAATTGGATTAAAATCAAACAGGTTATACTTGTTATAGAATAGAATTTAACTATTTATAGAAAATATTCACTCCTTGGACCAGCAGTTGAAGAGTCTTGTGATTCAGGACTTTTGGAATCTTCACTGGATGGTTTAATTGTAGTGGAAAAGTAATCCATATATCCTTCAACTGCAGCTCTTTTTGATCTGTTATCAGAGGAACCACTGGTAGGCATATCAGATTCAATAGTCAACACTGCTGGTTCATTTGATTTGTTGCTTCCCTTGCTTTCTGAGGATGAGCTAGCTGACATGCCAACCAAAGGAATGGTATCACCCTGCTTATCTTTATAATGGACACTCTCCAAGGCATGTACAATTGGTTTGGTAAGCTTCTCGATGCTAGTAGAAATGGATTTAGCAATACTAGAATGAGAATCCCGGCGTTCTGTGGTAACTGATGGAGAATTCTCCATAACTGCAACAGTTGTTTCTGGCTCATCTTGATCTATTGAATCCTTTTGTTCCTGGGAAGGACTGGGACAAGAGTAGGATCTCAGAGGATGATGCTCAAGACCTTTCACATAAGTAGACACACTTTCTTTTCTGTTGGTCTCATCCTCTTCATCTGAAGCTAGATTAAACATTGCCTGTTCTGGGCCATCCATTTCTTCAATAAGTCCTTCTTCAGTAAACTCTTCTAAAGCTTCCCTTAAAATGGCAGTCTCTAGACTAAGCTGCTGTACAATGCTGTCATTTCTTTTGAATCTGGATTTAACAGATGCTACCTCATCATCAGGTGAAATGCTACTAATCAGACTTGACTTTCTCGTGGTTCCCATGGATGCTCTCCTTCTGGTCAAATCAGCTTCACTTAAAGTTGAGTTGAACTTGGTTGGAGAAACTGACTTTCCATAGAATACACCATCACTGTACTTAGTCTGAACATTGGTTGTGGAGGATTGTACTTCTGCATCACGTAAAGACAAAATGGCTGCCTTGAACAACTGCCAATCACCAAATTTCATTTCCATACACTTACCAAGTTCATCTATGTCACAGTTGGCCAGTACCAATCCTGTGATGTTGTTTTCTCTTATAGCTACAGCATATTGTGACAGCATTGATTGGTTGATGCCAGATAATTTGGACAGTAAATGACAAATATCTATGACTGACATCTGACTCAAATAGAACTCACTGTTAAAGTCCTGAAAAACAGATCAAATAGGAAATCAACATCTATCTTAAAAAGAAACTTTGATTGGTGGAATATCTCTTTCCTATGAATGTCTTAAGACCACGGGATGATTGAAGTGTCACACAGAGAAATATATGAAACAAAACAGAGCAGTATTTTAATCACATTGTCAAAAAACCGTGTGTTTTGACTTACCTTGAGGAAAACTTGTGGAGGGGGTCTATTAGTTGGCCAAGATGCTACAGAAGCTGCTGGCATGGCACCCATCATTGGCATCATTCCTGGCATTGGAGCACTGTAATTCTGACCATACTGTTGCATGAATGAATTAGCATACGCCAAATTGACAGGCAGACGTGTTGGTGTTCCAAGTACACTGGGTTTACCAGATAGTCTGCTAGATAAAAGATTAGCTTCACTATCTCTAGATGGCATATTAACACCTTGTGGATAGATACCAGGCATGCCAAATTCCATTCTCTCAGCATTACTTTGAAATTCTACAATATAAAACAATATTACTATAACTTATTGTCTGTTGTCATGGTAATGTTTTGTACAACAGTAAATGTGGCAGTAGTAAAAATATATAGTCTTTTTGGTACCATTACACTTTCTTTTATCTTGTTTTCATTGCTTCAAGCTAATTTAAACATTTTTTGCAAAACGAGACATATTTCAGATATAAAAAGTATTAACAAAAAACTGGTTTGGATACAGAGATAAAATTTCCAACATGTGGACATTTTATATCTGAAAAAGATATGAGCTCTCTATACCAGTGGCAGTGAGAGGGCTTTATTTTTATAGGTTTTTGATCCAAAATATATTTCAGGTTGTACCAATTAAATTGAAGTTTTGAAAAAGTTCAAAGTTGAGGACACAAATTAAAACTTACCTCTAATAAGTTTCCTAAGATAAGGATCTAAATTAATAGTACAACCCAGAAACTTTTTCAGATCTCCAACATTTAATAGTGGTGTATTGCCTGATTTACTGGCTAAAAACGCTTCTAATTTCCTTACATTTCTATCAATTTCTAACAGTGGATCAATATCTTTAGATGCTGGGATACGAAGAGATATTCTGTAAAGAAACATTAATATAAAATAAAATGGCTACTAAGACAATTCGGTCAACAGCAGGTAATTACAATGTGATGAAAAAGTACATAAATAAACAAAATGTAACGAGTGTCATGAACCACAACTAGAAACTTTTGATATAAACAGAATGCCATGAATATAATGTCATAAACCATAACTACTTACTTTTCATGACCCATAACTACTTACTTTTGATAAACAGAATGTAATGAATATTATGTCATGAACCACAACTACCTACTTTAGATTAACAGAATGTAATGTCATGAACCACAACTACTTACTTTTGATAAACAGAATGTAATGAATATAATGTCATGAAGCATAACAACTTACTTTTGATAAACAGAATGTAATGAAGTGTTGTTATCTAAACAATCTGTTTCTTCAAAATAATATATAATCCAGGATACTCTATATGGCCATTGTTCTATAATATTAATCCATGCTGCTAAACGATGCCAGTTAAATTCAATATGATAAGCTCGTAATAAACGTGCTGAAATAAAAAATAACTTCACAGTGACATTGCAAAATACCACCAGGGCATAGCTTAAAATACAGTTCAGTTTTATCACGTTTATGCCATCCATTCTAAATTGAATTAGACCTTGGTTTATCATCCAAAAAATAAAATATTTTCAGGATACGTATTTCTGTGTCAGTCTCTCAAACATATACCACTAGCAGGTAAAATCATATGGCACCTGCGTGACATTGTAAAGTATACCCAGGGCCAAGCCATAAAATACGTTGATAATTCAGTTTGATGACATATCTGACTTCCATACATTTTTGTTTATCTAATGTCCAGTGATCTACATATGCACATATAAAAACAAACAGGAAAATAAAATAACTTTTTTCAAGTTAGTCGCTCTGATGTTAAAAAATCGCAAAGTTTTTTAAGAAAAAATATGGCATTGGTTATATACAAAAAAAAACATACCAGTAACAGCCACAATATTCATTAATCTTCTCATACTCCTAGGATTAATATCACTAAAATAATCATTCTTTACAAACGTATGACTTAAATCAACAGATGAAGCATAATTCATTCCTGGAAGTGATTCCGATAACATTGAAGACAACTTATTCTTAACTTTACTGTGCATATTCTTCTCATGGCCTATACTTGTAGAGGATTTTGATTCTTGATGCTGTAAACATAACAACAAATATTCAGTTCTGGCAAAAATTAGATTCTTGCTCACTTAACTGAAATTTCAAGGATCGAACCCAATAAAGATATTTAGAAGTTCCAAGCGCATTTCAAAACATGAACACAAGTACTATGTATTATAGTTATACACTTTTTATTGTACCCATAAAATAGACTGATCAAGGCTACCTTTTTAATCATACCTGGATGTACACAAATATCTTTGCTGAATTATGAATATTTGAACTAGAAAAAGTATCAGATGTAAAAAGGATTTGAAATTGATAAAGATGCATATCTAATACAAAATCAAAATTGAAAAGTGATACAGTGTTTCAAAACTTTGCCATA